TTTCATCTTATGTACTGTTATTTTTCTTCTCTTATCTTCAGTAGATCAACAAGATACAATTTTTGTTTTTGTACTATCATTCTTATTATTGTTTTTTTTTATTCTTTGTGCTCTTTCTTTAACAGATCTACGTAACAGTTGAATCATGTTGATCAGAAGCAAAATCAGCGATAATTTGTATCAACAAGAAGTTGATAATACTAAGAATCTTATTATCAGATAAGGCAAATGAGTTATTAGACATTATTAAATGTATATTTGTTTTATAAAAAAGAAACGAAAAAAAAAAAACTTTTAGCAACTTGCAAGTTAAAATTAAATTCAAATGCATTTCATGTGAAAATTGTTTTGAGCGAAAAGACCGTACTGAACTTTTAGCAATTTTAAAATTGTATGTCTGGAATTTTGTGTTTTGTTGAGGTGCTATCTTTTGCAGAACGCTGATCTAATTGATGATAAGTAGTTGTAGATGAATCAGTTCTTTGAAAAGAGCGTTTTGAAACTTTGATGATCATTGTATGATACTGACTGTGGTCAAATGATTTAAAAGAAGGATAGTTTTGTACAGGAAATCAAATTTTCAATGGTCTTAGAACCTGAATGGCAGTACTGTTATGTAGAGATGTATCTTGTCCAGCTAATCTTTCGAGTCATTGAATTCAAAATTCTGTGTTATTGCTTTCAGAATTCTTTGAACCTAAAGTAGTCTCAGGATTAAATTTTAACCATCATTCTCGATTCTTATGTTTGGCGAGTAAACAGGCTGTTTTATTGACATTTTTATCGTTGAAAAGATTTTTTAGTAATTTACGTTGTCATTTTTTTTCGTAATTTAACAACTACTAACCTTCTTGGTTAATGCAATTTTTTTAAGGATCGGAACTGACTTGGTTATTTTTGTTCTTTTTAGAAAGTTGTTGTTGAAAGATGTGTGGTATTTTTGCGTATTTGAACTTTTTAACACCAAAAACTCGTAAAGAGGTAATTGACATACTAATTCGTGGCCTTCAGCGGATGGAATATCGTGGATACGACTCTGCTGGTATGGATTCTTGAGACAGTTTTAATTGATAAGCTTTTCTTTTTAGATTGTTTTTTAACCAGTCTAACATTTTTTTACTCTGTCTTAGTTTACTGAATTTAATTGTTGAATTTAGTTTGCTTTTCTACTTTCATTAGTGCTTTTTTAATTCTTAATTTAACTTTTTAAGGAAACTAAATTTAGATACGACACTTTTCAAACCCTGTGTTTGTTACAGGAATTGCTATAGATGGGGGCAACTCTTCTGAAACATTGCACTCAACAATTGCGCTGCTTAAAAAAGTAGGAAAAGTCAGTATATTGGCTGACTATATTAAAGGTAGTTTTTTTTAGCAGAATTTATAAGATTAATCTTTTTAAACGAAACAATTAAATGCTTTGGTTTGGTAGATAGTTAGTCTCTCTGAGTATTTTGCTGGTAAGTAGTGCCTCATATCCTGATATTTGTTGAAAATCTAGGCACTAATGGGTTAGATCCAAATGTAATTTATGATACTCACTGTGGTATTGCCCATACACGATGGGCTACGCATGGCTCGCCAAAGGATGTCAACTCACATCCACAAAGATCGAACTCCAAGAATGGTGATAACTTCAATAATTACGACAAAGTTTACGCAAAACATTTTTTTGAAAACCAAAATAAGCAGATAATGTTAAAAATAGATTCTTCTTTATAAATGTGAAAAAATGCTGGAAAAAATCTAAAAAAATTTTTACAGAATTTTTGGTTGTTCATAACGGAATAATTACAAACTATCGCGAAATAAAAGCGTATTTGGTGAAAAAGGGCTATGCTTTCGAATCTGAAACCGACACAGAAGTGATTGCTAAGCTTATCCAACATATTGCGGAAACATATCCACATTACAGCTTTCGGCAGCTGGTTGAAGCAACAATAACTCAACTGGTTAGTTTTTTTGTAAAGGAAAGACAAAGAAGAAAAGTGAACGTTGTTAAGGCTAAAAAAACCTTAAGTTTTTTTGATTATATCTATAGTTTATCATTTTAAGCAAGGAGCGTTCGCATTGGCTTTTAAAAGTAGCCGTTTCCCAGATCAGCTAGTTGCAACTCGACGTGGAAGCCCATTACTTGTTGGTATCAAGAGTTCATCACGTCTTTCAACTAATCACTTTCCTGTCTTTTTCAGCAAAGGTGCATCATTATTTTACAGTAACGGTAGCAAATTATTAGTCGTTCTTGTCTTCTTGGAAAATTATTTTAAGACATGAAAAACGAGTTAAGTAAGTTTTGGAAAAGACTAATAATTTCTTTGGTGTTGAAGAATTGCAAGTTTTTTGGTGTAAGTCTATTTAAAGCTGTCGTCGTTTTTAAACAGCTGAAAAGAGCAGTAACTATAGTTGAGCAAGGCGGTCCTCAACAAGTCAATTTTTGCTGATAATCAGCAAGAAATATGAAGATAAATCTGAAAGATGGTATATCTGGATGTGATGATTTCGACACTTATCTTTTTTGACCTAGATTGTGTAGCAGGATAGCGGTTATTTTGGGATTGATACTTTAAAAAAATTAATTTTAGAAGCTGGTTGGATGTGGCAGGAGGAAAGGCAAAATGTTGGAGTGGAAGGCGAAGGTAAACAGCGTTTTGTCAGATTTGTCCTAAAAATTTTTCGTTTTATATAGATTATGTTGTATAAGGAAAGTAGCTGTCAGTCATTATAGAAAAAAAGCTAATTTATTTTGTTCTTCTTCTATGGTAGCTTAGTAGAAAAAACGCTAAAGTAGTGTTATGTTTATGGTGCGCTTGAATAAAATTTTTAATTTTTTCAAAACTAAAATATAAAATTAAATGTTTCTTAATTATGACATTACAATGAGCTTAACAGTGTTTGGATGTAAACCTCTAATTTTTCTTAAAATGCTATTTGTCATCAGTTTTCCAGCCTGCCTTTTTCTTTCTTCGCTGAACAACGATGATACTGTAACAGAATGTCACGGATCTGACCGGAGCGTGATTGGCTTGAAAAGCAAAAGTGCACCCATTCCAGGTGAAAATTTTGAATTTTCCAGGTTCACATATATGTCTAAAATCCTAAACAAAAGTTTTCTTTTTACAGAGGTTGAACTTGAAAGTACCACCTCAGTGCGGCCATTTGATTCACAACATTGGGAAGTGGAGTATTTTGTAGCATCAGATGCGAGGTAATTAAAATGCTCTACTTTTTCTAAAATAGTTTCTGCTTACCGTCAAGAAGCACTCTTTATTTTTTTTTAAAGTAATTTTGATTTTAAGTTGTCGCAGTCGGGCAAGTGAAATATGAGGTCTCCAAATTGCAGGATTTTCAATTAGAATCCGGCTTTTGTCCGGCGTTAGTTTCAAATGACATTTCGTCTTTCCTCACTACCCATAGATGCGCTTCAGGAATTGAAGAAGGACAAAATTCTTATAAAGACTTTAATTGCTACGTTTCATTTTGCTTTATCCGCATTTCAATGACATTTTTTTCAATAGTACGAACTGTTCTAGATAAGAAGTACTGCAGCGGAGAAATACAGTAATTATAAATTATAATCGCGATGGATAAAAAATACTTCTTCTTTTTTTAAAATCTTAAATAACATTTTTAAGCGCCATCACAGTTCTTATTGCAAAAAGTTTTCTAAATCTGCATCTTAAAATTTTAAAACACAACTTCTATCTTAATATTTTTAACTTTGAATATAGGTTTGGCAAAAATACTGCTCGTTATTTTATCTTAGAGCTCATTCATTGTTTTTCTATAGAATTCAGAATTTTGGGTGCTGAAATTTTCCGTTATTTATGAGAATTAGTTGTAAGGTGGGACAAAATCTGGTTGAAGGTTCCAACTTATATTCTTTAAAAAGTTTCTCAGACCAGTAAATGGTTTTTAAAATTGCTTTTTAATAGCGTTGTAATGATTTTGCTGTGCCGCAAATCAAGAAGAGTCTTATGCTGAGTATATGCAGAGTACTCTAAATAATAAAAAGCGAGTTCTTTATTGTAATATCCAGACAGAATTTTTAGGCCCTAGTCTTCTGCAGACTCCCAGTTACTTGCTTCCTGCTAAATTTGGAGATTGATGGACTGACTACAAATAGGTTTTCTTTTTTAAGTATGCAAGTTACCAGCTTGTCACTATCGTACCCATTTTCTGCAGTTTATGCACTCATTGAGAAAGTCTTCCATAAATCTTCCGTGCAGCTTGCACAGATTCGTGAAACGGCTAAATAAATTGAGCGTCTCAGTAAATTGTAGAAATTGGCAATACAATAGAACTTTTTTTCAGAAGTTTTCTGCCAAGCTCATTAAAATGTAATCTTTGTATATGATCAAAATTTTCTTGTTCTGATTCTAATCCTGCGTTTTCAAATTAAGGATTTGAGGAGTTTCTGCATTCCTCGATAAAACTGTTGGCTCTCTTTAATATAACTGCTTTTGCTCCCTTATCACCTCGAAACGAAAAAATGACAGAACAATTTTCAAAAGACATAAAAATATGGTATTTTATTATTTCCAAACAACATAATCTTTGTTTGCAAGCGATAAAATACCATATTTTCATAGCTTTCTCGTTCTTACTTCGAAGGTTAGTGCTAATTCAATAAAACAGCTACACATTTTCTCAGGAAATGATGATGGGCATAAGGAGTCTTCATATTTTAACGTGCACATAAAACTTAAATTTTTTGAGAACTAGAATAAGAGTAAATAGCTCAAACTCATGCAGTTTACAAGCAATAGAAGTAGGCGGAAATAGCTGCGAACTTGCTTCATACAAAGGTTATAAATTTCACCTAGGACTACTTCATTGAAGTTCAGTTCTTATCAATCTTAAAAAAAGCAAATGTTTTAGGAATTCAACTTTTTTTTTATTATTAACATAGCGGTTTTACAGTGCAATAATCGAGCATACCAAACAAGTTATCTTTCTTGAAGACGACGATGTTGCTGTCGTTGAAGGCGGAGGTTGTATTAATACTTACGGTTTAACGTCCATTTTTTTGCTTATAGATAGTGATGGACGCTGTTGTTAGTCTACCTTTTACCAAAATTGATACCGGTTTTAGCTCTTTCGATTCACAGAATCAAGCGAGGTGACAGTACATCACCGCAGACTCGTGAAGTGCAAAACTTGACGATGGAATTGCAACAAATTATGATGGGCGAATACAAGACATTCATGCAAAAAGAAATCTACGAACAACCAGAATCCGTTGTTAATACAATGCGTGGCAGATTACTTCCAGATGGTCGAGTGGTACTTGGAGGTATCAAGGTAAAAAGGTTTAGTAAGAGTGCTTTCATCCTAGTAGCAGTTATCTTCAGAATAAATTATTTAGGACTACTTAGCGGACATCAAAAGATGTCGTCGCCTGATACTTATCGCATGCGGAACGTCGTACAACTCTGCTATTGCAGTAAGTAGATTTGGCATAGTGAATAACAGTAAGCCATACGTTGAAATTTACTGACCGAAGGGGTAGGTGGCAATTATAATCTCAAAAAATCTGCAGCGTATCTGTAAAATTTAGCAAATATACCCTTAGAACTGTGACTTGGGGAAACGGTTGGTTTTAAACCAATGTCGGAAATGGCTTTTCAAAGCCAAAAAATAATTAATTAGCAAAGAATTCTTTTTTTGCAAGGAAATTTTTTGTAGTGCCGGCAAGTGATGGAGGAGTTGACAGAACTACCTGTGATTCTTGAGTTAGCTAGTGATTTCTTGGACCGTGAAACTCCAATTTTTCGCGACGACGTCTGCTTCTTCATCTCTCAAAGTGGTGAAACTGCGGATACTCTTAATGCTCTGAGGTGAGATCACTCCGCCAGTCGTTGTCATTTTAAAGGTCATTTTTATACAGCTACTATATTCCGGTATCCTGTTAGGTACTGTAAGCCGCGAGGTGCTCTACTGATAGGAATTACAAATACTGTAGGTAGTAGCATCTGTCGTGAATCTCACTGTGGCGTACACATTAATGCAGGGCCAGAAATTGGTGTTGCTTCAACTAAGGTAATCCCTCATTTCCATAAGACTCCAATAAAATGAACTTCTGCAGGAGTTCATTTTGAACAGGAATGTTCAATGCATCTAAAACTGTTTAGTCTGAAAAGTAAATTATTTTACTGGAAAAACCAGTTCCAGTGACCTCCAAAACGCAAACTTAAAGCCAGCTAAAATTTAAAGACCTAGGCTTTACTGATCAAGCACTTATTCAAAAAAATAGAACTTCTGTTCAGGCTTACACGTCACAAATATTGTCACTTGTCATGTTTGCTTTATCGATGAGTGATGACCGTATATCGATGCAGCCGCGTCGGCAAGAGATAATCAAAGGTTTAAAATCCTTGCCAGGTTTGTAAAAGCATTTTTGAGAAGTTTTTTGGAAAAGTGCGCTTTAATTATATTGACTGGAAAAAAGTGAAAGTAATGAACTTTCAGATCTGATTCGTGAAGTTCTCAAACTAGATAACCAAGTACTAGATATAGCAAAAAATATTTACAAAGAAAAATCACTCCTGATAATGGGAAGAGGCTTTAACTTTGCCACGTGTCTAGAAGGAGCATTGAAAATTAAGGTAAAGTTAGATGTCTTGGAATTTTTCGAATAATATTAGTGTACGTCAAGAAAAAATTCCTTAGAAAGTTGTTTTTCTTTACAACTTATCAGTAGCCAGTAAGTAGCGACAAAGGTGCTATTAAACCACAGGGGATACTAAAGAAAAAGTTTTTAGGAACTGACGTATCTACACTGTGAGGGCATTATGAGCGGTGAACTAAAACATGGGCCACTTGCTATGGTCGACAGTAATCGTGGCATTGTAATGATTATCTGTAGAGACAAAGTTTACAAAGTAAGTTTTTCAACTGACAATGATAAGCCAAGGCACTTAAGGAAAAAAATATGATGCGTTGCTAGTTACCTTTCAAAATATTCTTGTATTACAATAAATAACTCTTTGAGAAGATAAATGGGCAGGGAACTTCAGAAATCTTTTTTTTTTTTTTTTGAATGAGCTTTTGTTTTGGATAGCTGGAGAAACTGTAAAAGAAAAATATCAACTCAACTATCGGTTTTCAGAAATCTTTGAATGCGCTACAGCAAGTATTGGCTCGAGAAGGTAATCCGATTATTATTGCTGATACAGAAGTACCAGAAGAAGATTTAGCTGATCGAACGCACGTGTTACGGGTTCCTAAAACGGTTGACTGTCTCCAAAATATTCTTACCGTTATACCTCTTCAGCTGCTTAGTTACCACATCGCTGAGCTCAACAGTTTAAATGTGAGAACATTTATTCATTTTCCCCACTTTTAAATTATTTCGTTTTCATTAAACCTCAGTTTTAAATTTCACTACGTTGGCTTTCGTTGCTTTACATTGTCAAGAATGCCAGGTCTGAACCGCCCAAGCTGAAGTTTCAGGTGCAAAATACCCATTTCTTAATGAAATGAGGTGTTGAACCCTCGAAACGAATGTTCTAATCTCCTCAATTTCACTTAGCCAACATTGTTGTAAAAAAAACCGTTTAAGGAAAACGCAAATCCCTCTCAAAGTTTTCAGGTTGATCGCCCTCGTAACTTGGCAAAGTCGGTAACAGTTGAATAGCTCCGCAAGACACCGCTTTGAAATGTTGGCAACATCACCGCTGAGCAGCTGCAGCTTGTTCCCGCACCGTCTTTCTAATCCTCAACGGAAAAAACTGATGAATTCGCATGCGACAAAGTAAAAAAAGACAATGATGTATTTATACAATAACTCATCCGTTACTTCTCTGTTCCATGTTACCATACTGTTAATGGTGGTCTTGATGTACATAAAAAGGGGAAATTACATTTGATTTGTTCGAAACTTGTTACAATTTTATTCCACTTATTCTATGAACAACACTTACCAAATGTAAAAATGCAGTAAACACCAGAGGCCGGAATTTATGATCAGCAAATTCGTTACTTTCTCTACAGCACTGAAGCAAAGAAAAAGGGACATAATTATAAAAAAAAAACACTAGTGGCAGTCGAAGATTACAGATGATCCCTTCAACTAGAAAAATAAATTCCCGTCTAGTGCATATTCTAACAGGTTTTAGACTTACTCGGTAGAAAGCTTTGCCGGGAAAGGAAATAAATACGGCAGAATACCCGCTCACCCAACACTCACAGTGAACAACGTTTCCAATGAGTAACCTAATTTAGAAATCCTTGTCTCGGGCAGCTCGCCCAAAATTTAGAGCTTGTAAAGCTTCAATAAACTTAAAGGAAGCAATAAAGAACCATAAAAAAGGTGCTATCAAACCACACAAAAAGAGTGGTTTAGCACTTCTGTAAGAAATTTCCATTCTCTAAAGTTGAGGCCAATTAACGTTGTACGCCTCAAAAGCTTTACCGTGCAAAAAATTCTATAAAAAAACAAGAACTTAAGAAAATGTCAACGTTTACAAAAATACTTCACAGGGAAATGAGACCCTTAAGTAGGAACAAGGTCCTTATCCTAACAATGGGAAACAACCACTGGAATAAAGTAATTTCTGCGTACTTTATCGTCTGGTGACTAGGACAAAGAACAGTAATCCAACGAATACTAACCCGCCCCAGAAAAACGCTCTAGCTTGCGGCCTTTATAAAGCAATACGCTTTTCCACTGACACTGTACATCAACTTAAAAACGCACTCAGGAGCAGGACAAGTAAACTTAAAAAGTTGTATCCCACTGTGTGGCTGCGTTACTAATTACAGACGATATGATATTATACGATCTCAGAAAAAAAGATGACTTCAATAATAAAAACAAGTATCTCAATGGAACTCAAAAACTATCATAAAATGAAAGGAATGGTAGGAAGAAATCTAATAACAATGATATCAATTATCATACATCGCTAAGTTGGAGCATTAGTTTAAACAGATGAGATCACCAAAATACAACCGATACCCTCTTTGTTCCTTAATGAAATTCTTAAGAAGAATGCCAACTTTCAATCTGAGTCACTAAGACAAATTACTTCTTCCTCAGGAGGATCCTTCCTGACAACTGAGACTTGCTCCCGTGGTAAAGCTTGCAAATGCTTAAGCGGTTGATCTAAAATCAAAACAAAACAGTACCAAAAAACCTAAATAAAAATGAAATATTTTCTTACAGGAAACTTATTTATGCTATAGGCTCTGCTAAAAAACGGTCCTCTAAAAACAAATATCGTCAACTGTTCGCTTAAAAAGAGCCAACACCGGGAAACTGTAAGAAAAATTGAAATTTTAACTGTTATAACTGCTTAAAAAAGCAAAAGAGGAAAACATTCGAAAAATGAAGAAACTGGAGAATCATCTAAAACACAGATAGTACTTCTTGCATCGAACAACCGTCCATCCATCGTTCTCAAGAAAACACCCGAAAACGAACGAATCAAACGACAACGCTGTGGCTTCAAAACTTTTTTCACACCATGTTCGCTCAAACACGGGAGTATCATTTCTGAAGTCAAACCCTAGCAATTAAATGGAAAAGCTAAAGCCGACCTAAAAGATTACCAATTTCCTAAAATATAAACCGCGCATAAATACTATAAACAAATAAACGTGGAAGTAGCCCTTAAATTACCTCTGTCAGTAACAACTTCAATCGAGGACGGTGAAATGTCGTGAAGTTGGGACAGTGGAAACTTATCACTAGAAATTCTTTCTAAACTCATCGGCAACGGGGTAGGTCTGATCGGGGTGGTTCGAGGACTAAAGGACATATACAGTATTAAATCACAAAAACAAGCTCTTACAAAATCAACATTAAGCTGTTACAGATGCTAACTAAACCCACAATCCAGAATAAAAAAAAAAAAGGAAAAAATATTAAGATTTGTAAATTATTCGGGACTAACAGCAGCGCAGCTTGATACGATGATTTTTCCAGATCCAAAAACGTCGGCTCGATTGACTCACGCTCTCGTACCCACTTACTCGTCTTGAAATCTCTTTCAAAATCGACTCCTTTATAACAGTTTTTCTCCTTCTCATACAACATCTGTGCTTCCAATTTTTCTTCTTCACTCAAACCTTCTTCGCGCTCCAATAATAAAGACTCATGTAAAAACGGAAGCTGAAATTCACTAGAAAAATTTAAAAAACGCTTCAACAGCTTCATCCCAATAAGTTTGCTCAAAAAATCTTTTGAAAAATCTTGAACATAAAAGCTCAAAAAGTAGTACATGGTGCGACCTCTACCTGAGAAAACAAACGATGATGGCTCATCACTGTCACCCACAGTACAGGATCTTCGCAATGAAAACTTTTTATGTCGAGTTCTTGCTCCATCACATCAAAAGCTTCCTGAAATTAAAGGTAGCATAAAACTACAAATTCTGCTGGGCACAAAAAAGTGTTTTTTACGTCAAAACCGCCATTAAATTATCCTTACATCATAAACGAGCAATTGTTCTAACTCCCTCTTTGTGACATCCACATCCATCTGCTTATCATCCACTACTCTTTCTAAAATGACTTTCAAATGCAAAATTTGAAACACTTTTAAAACCAAGAAAAAAATAAGCAATAAAATTCTTGACTTCATGCAGACTTACGATGAAATCCGATAAGGGCTTACTGAATATAGCTTTTACTGCACATAAACATCTGTTCAAGCAGAGAGGTTTTAAAAACGGTAAATCAGCTTTTTAAAACCGCCATCACCAAAAGAATAAACCCACGCTGTAAGCCGCTTTTTCCAATCTGCCGATTGAAGATAGCTTTCTCCATGCTGTTATCTACAATAAGTCGATAAATAAATGTTCGTTTCCTTTGACCGTATCGGTAAATTCTACAAACCGCCTGTGCATCGTGACATGGGTTCCAAGAAGCATCAAACAGTATTACGCGGTTCGCAGAAACCTCAAAAAATCTCATCTCTCAATAAAAATGGAAACTTAAGGTAAAAGACAAATTAAATTAAAAAGGCGAATGAAGTACCAAATTAATCCCTAACGAGCCTGCTCGTGTAGAAATGAGAAATAAGAAAGCTAATGGATCCTCATTAAAACGATTGATAAGCCTTTCTCGTTCAGTGGCTGGAGTCGACCCGTCAAATCCTAAAAAATATTAAAGTCAACCGCGAAAACTTCTCTCAAATTTATTACCCTTAAAAGAACCTACGATAAAACGTTGCATTTTTTTGCCATTGATATACCCCTTCTGAAGTTTGAACCGTACCCAATTTAAGCAAATAAGTCTCGATCAAGTCTAACGTGAGCAAGCTCTGGCTAAAAGACAAACAGATATAATAAAATCAAATACAAAGAATATTATGCAAACATGTCTAACTTATAACCAGCGAAAGAATACCACACACCTAAATAAAAGAACTTTTTCAAAACTTCTGGCGGCCTGTTTTATGATAGAAAATGCAATAACCATCTTGTAACCATTCTCGATAATTCCAGGCCGATAAGACTGCATAGCCAACTCAGCCTGAAAACTTAGGCTTACCAAAAAGAAGTGCAGCTAAAAAACTGCTAATAGCTGGTTGCCAAATGAAATAAACATTAATTCTGTTCAAAAAGATATTCAATTTCATACGACAGGATTTCAAAATTAGTGGTAGATAAATCCACTGTAAAACACTTTTTTGTCAGATGCAAGATGCACCAAACCCCAAAACAAATGAATTTTATTAAATAAATAAGCATAATTATTACCCATTCATACTTGACATCGCTATTAAGACCCATCTCTTCCATTATAGCTTTAGCAATTGTGGTATTGGTTCGAGCACGTAGACCTTTGCGAAACTCTTCACCTTTCCCATCACTCGGATCAACCCCATATTGCGAAACAGCTACAAAAAACCGATTTTACTCCCAAAAATTAACTGGTGAACAACTTTTTGAAGATAGCCCCTTATAACAGTTTGAGAAAGTATTATAAATTAGGATACTAAATAACAATAACCGATTCGATGAAAATATAACCAATACAAAAAAATTAACAGATATGGTATTTACAGCTGTTTAAAAGTGCTGGAGGCAGTGAAAGGTTTGCTGAAAACGGCAGAGAAGGGTCATGGTATTGGTTGTAGTAAGAAATTTCTGATGAACCGCCAGTCCCCGATGGGATTGTACTATTATCATAACTAATGAACTGGTGATGAAAAGTTTGAGGAACAGATGAATATGACTGACAGTTCGAATAAAAATTATCCACTTGCTGTCCCACTGATCCATTACAGTTAAGAGCTAAAAATAATGAGTAAAAAGAAATATTTCAGGTTTGCCTAAAACTTATCAAGGTAAAAGTGAATGGAAATTAGCTTAAGATGACCACTCGAATCTGAACCTAAATTGCTTTGACAAAAAACAAACTCCTGTTCTGAAAAAAATTTATAGATGGAATTTAAATATTTACCATCAAACTCTGAAGACCCAGCCCCATACATCGCGTATTGTGAGGTAGTTGGAAATTGAACACAACCCTGCGAAGTTGCTACGTATTGCTGTTGTGCGTCCAAGTAATTAGAATGGGTATTATTATCAAGACCAGACTTGGACCCTATACAATCTTCTGTCAACTTCTCCAAAACGTTGTGTAAAACATCCGGGTGATTCCAAATCTAATTTTTCACATTCAGTTCGGTAATATAAGTCACAATTTATTGAAGCCAAGAGAAAAAAGAACAAAGGTGTTGCAAGAAAAAGCAGTTCTTATCAATTTGTTCCGACAAAAGCGGTAAAATTTTGAAATACCGGATATTATCTGCCTCCTAACAATGTGAAATTTTGACAAATAAAGTTTGGTATTTTCATACTGGTGTCCCACACAATACAAAAAGGCAGAAACATAAAAAATTAAAAAATGTAAGCTTTTTTTCAAATGTTCTTCTTTACAAGCAAGAAAATAAAAAAAATTGAGACATAAATGAAATACCTTTGAACATGCGGCAAATGCTTTCAAGGGATTGTATGTAGATGTCCCGGAACCTTCACTTATTTCTGAACTTGCAAACTGCAGGAAGTTCCGATATAACAAACGCTGAATAGGACTTTTGCGAAGAAGCAAGACAAATTCAGAAGATGGAGGAAGAATTTTCTTCAATAAATGATGAGTGCGTCTGAAAAAAGCCAAATTTTAAGTGAGTATTATTTTGAACCCTTGAAATATGGAAGATTCTCTTAAGTCACCAAATCTCAAAATAAAAACAATCAGAAAATTATAAAATATTAAAAGATAATAGAAGACCCATCTGTCACTAAAAGAAGTCGAAAATATAAGTTAAAGAAAAATTAAAGCACTTCCCCAGCAATAGCGCCAAAAACTCAAATACGTGATACCCTAACTTTGATTGAGAACCAAAGTTACCAGTTCATCAATAAACTGCTCGAACCAAACCCATCTAAAACGTTCAATACATCCGAAAATTTACCTTTGAACAAATCCTTTTAGAAGCTCTATAAGAACATGAGTTCTCTGCCTCGCAAGCTTTATATCAGCCGGTGTCGAGTCAATACAAAGGCCATTTTTAATTGGCTTCTCGAACATTATGCTAAAGTCTTTTTTCGACCCTAAATAAAACGGTCGCACGAAATCCACCATGCAAAAATATTCCATTAAATTATTTTGCAATGGGTATCCCGTTAAGACTATACGCCGCCTATAAAGAGAAAACACTAAGAAAACAACCGAACTGTTCATAGTGAAGCAGGGAGATCAACGAACAATCAAAATAAGTTTAGATTAAAATTAAACTATTGCAGAAAACTAACTTTGTTTCAACAGCAGATAAAGCAGCAGCTATTCCAGCTTTCTCATTTTTTATTCGATGACCTTCGTCACAGACGACTAGATCAGGTCCTGGACTCAACAAAGCACGTTTAATCCCTGTAAAATCCTCAGCTAAAAAATAAATTAGCAATACTCCATAATACAATGAACACATAATAATAAAATAATATATTCTCAAAAACGAAAAGCTGAGTGCGTACTGCTTGGTATAAAACAGCACTCATCAAATTTTTAAGCCCATCAAATATAAAACAGCTTTTTTTCACTTGAAACAATTAGTGTAAAATAGGTGGAGTACTTCCACATTTTCGAACTATCGTGAAAAAAACATAAACCTAGAGACCATAAAACCATCCTGTCAACCTCATTCTCGCCCTCAAATCTAACTCTGCCTCTCCTCCCCCCTCCCTCTTAATATAATCAATTTTCAAAACTATCTCCAACACCCCAAGTTCAGTAACTCCTCACACTGCCAACTAAAAATCCTTCAAACGACTTTCCTTTTACAACTGCACATTCTAGAACACCTAACCGCCATACATCAATGCCAGCTGTTGATACCTAGTAGATCAAATAGCCTGACGTACAATCTCTTTAATAAAATTGAAGCTCTTGCAACTTCTTCATATTTTTTTATTTTTCTTATTTATATGAAAAAACTTCAAATCTTAAATACTTATCCTCTTTGCGCATTTCCTCCTACAAACAAAGACCGTATCACACTAAAGACCAGCCATCTCCTCCCAAGCAGTCATTCTTTTTTAAAGCTAGTGCTTCAACATATAAAAAAAAGCAAACTGGCCCTTTGAAAAACCGAAAAAAACTTTAACAGCCTATGCCCAAAAATCCAAAAAAATACATTCACATGTGGTAAAAACGAAGTAGCTTACTTCTCCTATCTTCGCTAGTGTGTCTTCAGCTGTAATGAGGTGTTTTAAGTAATATCAGTCAACGTAAGTGAACCACAAATAAAATTATAAATTCATACCCAAATGAAGAGAAGCATCCAGCTCCTCTTTCTCGAGATCAACAACCTCCTCCTTCGACTTTTTCTTCATCGACTTCCTTTTTGTAGGGTTTGGTTGTACGAGCACACGAAACATATCATATCCAATTAATAAAACCCCACCTCCTCTATGCCACTGTTCTACAAAGAGCAAAACCAATTAGTCATTTACACTTAGGAAGCAACGAGTAACGTGAGTTGAGGAAAGCTGAAAACGGAGATAAGTTGCCATACAAAATGCACATCTTGCTTAATAAAAAAATTTCACTTAAGTTTTACTTATTGAATCTGAAATCAACAGCTCCATAATGCTAAAACTGTCAATGAATAAGAGACGCTAGGAACTGGAATCTTTATAAGTACTGCAAATCAAAAAAAAAAGTTCGAGATGTTTCCATATTTAGAAAACAGCCTCTCCCACAAACCTCAAAAGAAGTTAAAGAAATAACTCAGTAAAACAAATTAAATGTTGCAACATATGGTGAAAATTGATCTAGAAAAGAAAACAGAGTACAGCAGAGTGAGCTGTCCATCTAACTTCTAATTTGCTAAAAAAACAGAAAAGCCTACGTATCATATCACTCCGTTCTTTGATTGTTTTCACAGAATCACCAAGTAAATAAACCTTAAAAGGCCGAATCGGATATCCTTCTACAGTGCGTCTAAAAAGTGGAAAAAAAATGAAGGCGTGCTCCCAACACAATCAACACATGAAATGATAAAGAAAGTTTTACTCCGGAAGCCACTTATCGTACTCATTCCACCAATTCTGTATTGTATTTACGGGAACAATTATCAAAATCTTTTTCGCTCCAGTAGCCCGGTAAAAAATATCTGTGAAAGCAATTACCTAAAAATTAATCGGTAAAAACTCCAAATAAATAAAAAAGTTTAAAAAAAACTATAACCTGAATCGTTTTCCCCAAGCCCATACTGTGAGCAAGGATGCAGCCAAAGCCTGGTGAAGACGGAAATGCAGAGATACTTTCAATTACATTATCAAACCTTGAAATAACTTCAATCAAGCACCACAGTTTTCAGCATCAAAAAAAGCGGAACCAAAAAAAACTTGGAAAGCGTAAAAATATAAATCACGAAATCCCAGTAAAATCCAAAATACCGGAATAAATGTTACTCGATAAACAAACAATGTATACTCCCTACCTATAAAATAAGTTTAAGCCAGGTCAGTAAAATTGTGAAGACAAGGCAATTAAAACGTAAAAATTACATAAAACGGATGCCTCCAAGCTGATGCGGTTGCAATACGGATGTCAGATGAGAAGGGACATAAATATTTGGATCTTGTGGAGGCTTGCCTGCGTTGACTAACAGACGACCTTCACAAAGCTCTGTACTTTCAAGATCCCCTGACATACGACGTTTCCTCAATCGTCTTCTTTCTTGTCGCTGGAGAACTTCCATTTGATTTTCCTACAGACGTATTTTAAATAGACATCTACTAACAGAACAACAACCAGTTGTAGAAAATCAGAAAAAAATCTTGAAAAAGTAAGTAAAAAACTGCTCCATATTGAAAAACTAACAGTTATCTTTCCAAACCTTCCGGAAAATCCGCCTAGACGAAAACCTGAAATATTCTTCCGGTAGCTACCGCACAATTTCCACAAGTTTTTATAGCCTTTCTCAAAAACCCTACCAGTAACAGTAACTTCTTTCACTTCTTCATCACTACTGAGTTCAATAACATCCACTTCTGGGACTTTCTGCACCGAACTTGAGGCTGAAACTAACTGGCTAGAAACACCAGCCGAAAAAGAATGGGCCTCTTCAGAATTCGCCGGATTTTCTTGAAGTTCTTTAAGACGCTTCAAGCGCTCCTGTTCTCGTTTTCGGGCTTCTTGTGCAATAGCAGACAGTCGTCCTTCATCAAAATCTGCTCTGCAAATAACGAACAACAACTAAGAAAGCTAAAACAATCTTTGGAGAAGTTAAATAATTAAAAGACAGACCTAGACCAAGAAAAGAAGGTCAATTAATAGAAAATGTAATAAATTTTACCTGATTTGTTTCCTTTTCAAAGACTGGTTTTTATTTGTTGGTAGGACAAACGACATCAGATCCGATGTGGTATCCATCTGCTGGTCACTTGGAGGAGTAGGGGTATGCAACCCTTTATCAGAAACCTCTGACGATGCAGGAAAAGGTGTGTAATTTATGGCATTGACCTTCAAAATGCTATCCTCATTTAATACAATCAAAGTAAGATGAAACATTTTAAACTATTAATAGTTTCTGATCACGACGTAAACAGTCAGCAAGCGAACTTACCAACTCGTTATCGACCGAAAACCCATCACCTAAAAGAGCAGAAAATCCAAGATTAAAAAAGTGACTAGCATAACTGGTTGCGAAAAACCACGCAAAAACTCTCCGCAATACGACCAAACGTGGATTAAAAGTTTAACACTTACTTTCAAAATTACCTCTAATTGATGGTGAAAACGGTAAAGCCTTTTCAGCGGTAGCCATTTGAGTAGAAAATCCTATATGGCATTCGTTGTTCCACTATAGTTTTAAAAGCTTTGCCTAGAAAATTACAGCTAGGAGACTACACGCAAGTTATATTGTATACGCAGATACAAGATATCAATACTTTAACGACTATTTAGTAAGCACCACAGTGTTTTACACCAAAATTCGTTAGACAATTCTCTGAATTACCAAGAAATGGAGGGACAGTAACAGTAACTGCCAGTTTCTTAAAAGTCGGCGATTCCGCCGATAAACTATAGGCTCGCTACATTGTCACTCAAAGTGTGCCCCTAAGTATGGCACCTGCTTCCTTAATAGAAGCTTTCATTTAACGACATGAGTGTAACTGCCTCATAGTTTTTCATGCATAAACTTAATTAATAACGCAGAAGCTTCAAGCTTCAAATTTGACTCCTAAGAAAAAACTGAAAAACCCCAAAGCATCAAAAAAATACTTTGAAACTGCGACACAATAAAACTGCAGCAGGTAAATCAGTAATTGTTGAAGAAAAACAAGTACTTCCTTACTACCACCTTGAATACACAAGAAGGCCGGCTGGAAACGCGGATGAAGCAGGGACTAACAACAGCCTTCTAGCCCTTGCAAAGCGTCAGACGTCCCAGAATTTCTTTCTTCATAGTGTTTGGAACAAAAGCAAACTCTACCTTTGCATAAATCCCACTTTGGTCACCAAAAAAACATGTACCCACTTGCAGTTACTGAAAAAATACAAAACTTTCATCTATACAGTGAAAAATATAAGCAGTATTCCTGTCAAATGAGTCCCTACTAGCATTCTACAACGCTTACTGAATCAGGCGCAGTGACTTTCCAACAAACCTTTTGCATTTCTTTTTTACCTTTCGTTCTCCCACTTCGCTGCTAAACAAATCCTGCTGAAGTTTCGGTCCTAAATCCAATATGTTTCAGGACCATCAGTTTTCTCAACCAACCAAAAACTGCGCATTTTTCAATAAACGGCACCCCGTAAAAACCTATGCTTCATTTGAGCCTTAATTTTGGGTATTTTTCTGAAAATAATTTAAACTTTTTCCTCGTAAAAGTTCCAGCTGAGATCAAACCTCTATATCATTGGCTGAAAAAAAAAATCTTGACCAAAATCCAATCCGCCTTTATTCCCACGCGGAGCTATAATAAGAAGCCACCAGGAAAATTAAGGTTCAAAATTTCACTGACTCTATAGTTCAGAACCTTCTATCTACACCGTACAGTAAAAAAACGGCGAGAAAAAAATGCTCAAAGAAAAGAAAAAAAAAGCGACACTACAGTTAAGTCTGTTTACTCCTAAACGTAGTTATTCTGGGCATCAATCTACCTCTTTTTTTTGCAGATGAATTAGGCGGGTTTCCTACCTTGCCTAATTCGTCTGCAATATTTTCAAACTTCTCCACGCACTTCCTGCTAGCTTTTCAATTGTCTAGGTCTACAGTTCCGTTGTATTTATGACGTTTCACAACACCGGCCCGACTATGACGCTTGATGAAATAGATAATTGTGCTCTGTAAACTTAAGCCTAAAAGTCTAAAAAGTTAAAAGACACTGCTCACATAATTCTCCCAATCACAGTTTTTAACTCTGTTTGGCCACTTTCCTGTCAGCTCAAGAATTCCTAAGTAATACCAGTGTGTTAGCTATGTACAAAAAAATTACTGCTTCTCTAAATGAGAAGATCAAAAAAATTGTCAGGCAGGGGCTTCCGGAACAAGTACTCATACATATATTTATAATTTACGACCCTGTATTGCTTTTTTGCTTAGCCATAACGACTCTCTGTTGCGTTTGTCTGTAGCTAAAAAAGTCGTCGCGATATTCAGTCTTTACAAGAAACCTAACGAAGCTGTTAAAAATGAAGTGGGTGAAAAACTACACAATTTTTCTATTTTATTATAGGCTTGTCCTATTTCACTCACAAAGATCGTACCAGATATTGTTGAGTAATAGTAAATTACCGAAAGAATGACCTTGTATTATAAAAGCAATAATTCAGCCAGGCTAACGTTAAACAGCAAAAACAACCGATGACGGTTCATGTCCGAGCCATAATAGTACTTCT